TTTTCCTTTTCAGTTCATCAGCTATTGTTAGTGTATTTTATGTGTGGCCCAAGACAATTCTTCTTCTTCTTCCACAGTGGCCCAGGGAAGCCAAAAGATTGGAGTTTAGAATTTGACATCAGACTTAGTTATATCTTTGCCCTAGACTCTGGCAACACTAAACAACCATTTCCCCCCCTCCTCCTCTTTTACCCACCTAGCCACTGAGTACCATCAGTTACTAATTCAAAATGCCTTGTTTCTTCTTTTTCTTCCCCACAAGACTAGCCAGACCCTCATTATTTCCCAGGTCAGATTTTAGTAGCCTCCTCAATGATCTATGCCTCCATTCTATTTTTCCTCAAAACTTCCTCATTTTACTTCTCTGCTCAGAATTCTCCAATGATTCCCAAGTATAAAATGAAGTGCAAACTTCTCAGATATAATTGGAACCCTCTATAACCTAGCCATGAGTCCTGTTTAACCTCATTTGTCAATCCTCCCCCATAGAAGGGAAGAAGAAAGCTATCAGTGACCAAGAAAATAAAACAGATTCTCAGATGCTTTATATATGATACTCAGTCTTTACAACTCTGTGAAGTGGAAATTATTATGCCCATATGCTGATGACTAAAACACACATGGCATCTACAAAGGACTAAGAAAATAACTGCAAGATTTAAAGTCAGCTTCTTAATAGCTTTTCTTTTAAGTAACAGTAATGCCACTTAAAATAGCATTTTTACTGTTTATATTACTTTAATAATGGTAATCAAACAAATACTAAACACTCAATAAAATCATTTTAATTTACCATCAATATCTGAGAGCAAAACAAAAAAAATATATAATAGTAATCAAACAAATACTAAAAACTCAATAAAATCATTTTAATTTACCATCAATATCTGAGAGCAAAACTAAAAAAAAATATTTCCAAGCCACTATCAATGATTGAACTGATATATTTACTATGTCCTACTATTCATATGACAAAATGTATTCATTAGGACTAAAGAATAGCAGTTTTAATTGCCACCTCCAAATGAAATGAAACAAAAAGTGGCACTAAATCCTTTTAAATCTCAATTTCCTCAACTGTAAAATGGGGATAATAATAGTGTCTACACCTCGTAGGTCAGGCTTAAACCACAGTCTATGCATATAAAACAGTGTTTGGCACATTGTGGAGGCTCAATAAATGATAGCTACTATTTTGTTTTCAAATTAAAATTCGAAGTTCTTATAGTTGGAAGAGTTTTAATTTCTCAATTTTTGTAAAAATCAACTACTATAGTAATTCCAGTTGCTATATATTTCATATTAATAAGTTACACCAAGAAATGATACATGATTGCAGTATGTCTTATGAAGGTGACAAGATATTATAGTTCTCCATGAGAATAGCAAAAGTTTTAACTTTCCTTCCCCCTAAAATAAATATTACAAAATGACTTCACAAACCTTTCATAACTGTATTCCCAGTAAATCACATTCAGTAACATTATAATGGAAAATAAGAGTATGTGCAAATGAAAAAATAAAGAACAATACCAGGAGAAGTAGTATTCTGGTCACTGGAAAGGCTGACAGCTGAATCAGCAGTAGAAAACACATGGGTTTTTTGACCAGAATGATTTTCCGTTATTGAGAATTCGGGTTCTGAAGTCTCCTTTTTGTCACTTTGATCTTCTTCATCCATATGAGTCAACAAATGCACTAATCAGATTACATATAACAATTAAAAGAAAATAGTAGAGAAAAAAAAAGATCACATGGAAAAGACAGCAACTGCCAATATTTCCAATGGGCAACACAGATATTAGAAGTTTGCCACGTATTACGCTAATAGCTTACTACTGAATAATGAATTAATTTAATTAAAAATTTAAAGTTAAAGTTCTTCTGCCATAAACAAACAATAAAATTTATTATCAACTTCATTAAATATGGCAGACTGAGCTAAAGTGGACAGGCCCTTCCATAAAAACAAAGAAATAAAAAAAAAAAAAAAAAAAAAAAAAAAAAAAAAAAAAAAGGTTAATACACAACCAGTCCTTCTAAACAGAGAAATTCCCCGATGCCAGAAAAGAAAAAGGAACTCAAAGCTGAAGCAGTACATAGGCAACGAGGCTGGGATAGTCTACTATGAGGAATAGGAGATGTGGTGCAATGAGGGAAAAACTGAACTACCTTCTTATACCTTAGAGTACTGAAGGACAGCTTTGTCCATAAAACAGGGATAAGAAAATCTCTCCCCTAATGAAATAGCAAATAAGTTTCCTATCTGCATGGACAGCAGCTAAGAGAAAAATAAAAGTCAACTTAGAAATCAAAGTCCCCTGGCTTGCCACAAGCATGAACAGAGTCTGAATTTCTACCATCAAGATAGTACAGCAACCCCAAGTGAAGAAATGTATACTAAAATTTGTTCCAATTTTTTTCTACTTCAATGATAGCAAAAAGAAAATGCAAAACTACTCCAAAGACAAATACATATAATCTAGCAGAACTTCCACTAACGATAAGCCAGCCTATGATAAAAAATTACAAATCACACAAAGGAACAACCAACTATGAAAGAGAGTCCGTATGCATATTCAACAATTGATAATGTGCACATATGAAATATAACAATCAGAAAGGGTTAGTCATAAAACATGACTAAAATTATTAAACAGATAAAGCAAAGGAACAGTAATAAAAGAACAGGACAGGACATTAAAAGAGCAGATATATTTGAAAAAGAAATAAATACAACTTCTAGATATTAAATGTAGCCACCAAAATTAAAATCATAATGAACAGCTGAAACAGCAAAGACATGGCAAAAAAGAGAATTAGTAAACTAGAAGACAGATCTGAGGAAATCATCCTGAGTGCACCACTGATAGAGGGAGGAAATTATGCAGGAGAGGTTAAAAGAGACAAGGAACAGAGTGAGAAGGTCCAACATACTCTAATAGGTATTTTAGAAGATAGAAAAGAAACAATGGGGAGGTAGCAGTACTTCAAAAGATTATGGGTTGAAAAGTCCCCAAAGTTAAAACTAAAGAATCATTCCTACTCCAATAGAAGGTAAATAAAAAGAAATACACACATAGAATCATTATATGAAAAAAGCAAAATTAGGCAATCAGAGATAAAAGAACAGGAGTCAGACTATAACTCATAGGTAGTGTAAACTCAGCAATTAGAGATATCAGAAAATAATGGAATAATATCTTTTAATGCTAACATAACATTAATAATCATCCTAGAAGTCTGCATTCAGCTATAAGATATCGCTCAGGAATTAGAGTAAAATTAAATCTATTTTCAAAAACTGAGAGAAGTTACCACTCACAGACTCTAAAGGAAAGAAATAATAAAGAAAGGAAGGAAGAATGAAACCAAATCCTTAAAGAAGCAACTGTTGGCAACAATAGCAGAGAAGAGAAAAGAGCAGAGTTCATCTCAGGCAATAAGAGGTGTCATGAAAGTTGTCTTGGTTTTATACGTTTGTTGCATATATATTTATATTTTAAAATGTAATTAGAAATTAGAAATTTTAAAATGAATTAATTGTGGGCAAAGAGAATGACAAACGTTGAGAAATCCTAACTAAGCACTGACTAATAAAAATAAAAGACAAGGGAAACTAAATGCAAGGGTTAAAAACGGAGTAGATCTAAAATATTAGAAAACAGTTATCAGAGAAGATGGAGGACACGAATCAGTGCTAAAAAGGTCTAAAGTCCCTATATTGTTTGGGAGGTAGATATATTCACCTTAATTTAAAAAGAAAAAAAATTTTTAGGAGACGGTGTCTCACTATGTTTCCCAGGCTGGAGTGCAGTGTCTATTCACAGGCATAATAATAACATACTACAACCTTGAATTCTGGGCTGAAGTGATCCTCCCACCTCAGCCTCCCAGGTAGCTGGGACTACAAGTACACACAACCATGCCCAACTTCATCTTAAATTTTAACTCAACTATGAATGTTAAAAATTTAAGAGTAACCATTAAAGGATTAAAAATCAAATGTATAATTTCTGAACCAATACAATAGGAAAGAGAGAATATAGAAAACTCAATCCAATAAAAGGCCAAAAAGAGGGACAAAAAGGAAAAAAACATGACCAAAAAGAAACATGAAATAAGATATTAGAAATAAGCACAAATATATCAGTAAATAAATGTACACTGATTATACTTGCTGGTTAAAAAAGATTGCCTAATTATTTAAAGGAGTGAAATCTAGTTACATGCTGGACACAACTACAACATAATCAAACAGCTTGAAAGTAAAGGATGATATCTAATTTACAAGAAATACAGAGGAGAAAGCAACATATTAAATGGCATCACAGAGATTCAATTAGCAAAACCCAGATTCTGAAAAACACTTTGGGATGAATATCTTGTTTCTTCAACAAAGAAAACTTGAAGGAAGAAAAAGGAGAGAAGGAACCCGGAAGTTAAGAGACTTACAAGCCATCAACCAATGGCCACATATAGATCTTACCTGGGTTCCAACTGTAATCATTACAAAACTATTTTTTAAAATGAGCAACTGGCAACATCTGAACCCTAATTAGATATGCAAATATATTTAAAATTTTTTAAAGAATGTCAATATTATTATGCTTATGTTTTAAAAATGGACCTGATCTTTTAGAGATACATATAAAATATTTACACATAAAATAATGTGCTGTCTGGGTTTTGCTTCAAAATAATCAAGAAAAAGGTGGGAAGAGTGGGTGGGTGTATACGTAAAAAAGGGATTGGCCATGAGTTAATAATGATTAAGAGTTTTTTGTTGAGTATATGAAGGTTAATTGAATGATTCTGTCGTCTATTAAAATAGAGTCGAAATTTAACATAAAATTTCAAAAAACAAAACATTATCAAAAAAGACATACCAGAACACAGGGGTAATAATATTCATGTTAAACAAAATTGACTACAAGTCAAAAAGAATTACTGGGGTTATTACTTAATGACAAAAGAGACAAAATCCAACAAGAAATATAACAGTTCTGAACTATATTCACCTTATAGCCTTAAGATGAATGTAACAGATTTACAAGAAGAAATAATTCCACAATCATTACGGGTAATTTTTAATGCAACCTTCTGAGAAATGAATGGATCAAGCTAACAAATCAGAAAAAATATATAGAATCTGGACAATACAATTTAGAAGCTTGACTAAAGGGAGATATATATACATACACTACATACAACCAACAGAAAATGCTTGTTCTCTTCAAATAAATGTGGAACATATATAAAAACCGACCATATATCCTCAGCCACAAGGGATATTTTAACAAATATCTAAGAAATGATACCATCGTACACACCAGCTAATCAAAATACAATGAAAATGGAAATCAATCACAAAAACATAGTCCAAACTCAATATTTAGAACCTAAAAACTCCTTTTACAAGCTAAAGAAATCATAATGTGAACTATGAACTACAAACTATGCAGACCTGCACAACACCAAATGATGATGAATGAGTATCAACACTCTTGTTTAGGTTCATGTAGGAACATGTTCAGCCTCAACTGCATATATTGAAAAATAAGAAAAAACAAAGTTAGAAAAAAGCCAAAAAATCCCCCAAAATAGAAGAAATAATAAAGATTAATGAAAAAGAAAACTGAGAAACAATAAAGAGAATTACCAAAGACTGGCTTTTGAAAAGTCTAAACTGACAAGACTGAATGAGAAAAAGAATGCAGGTATAAACTACTACAGACACAGTAGAAAGTAAAATCAACTGCTCTAATTTCATTGTTTCAATAAGAAATGAAAAAACTTAATACCTTACCACTGCCTGGCCATTTTACCAGAACCTTAAATTTCAGCTCAGCTGATGATCACAGACAAACAGCAACCTCAGCACAAAGCTCTGTGCAATCCTCAGCACAATAAGGCAAATGGTTTGGAATGCACCAAAACTGTGCTCCAGGCCACACTTGCCCCATCCTGGCATAAAATCCAGAGGAGGTTATTGTCTTCTCAACAACAACAACAAAAAGCAAACAAACAAAAAGGTCTTGAGGTGGGAGCTAATCACATTACAAAAAAATAATCCTAATCTAAAAACTGGGAAGCTGATGACTTAAGATCACATAGGAAAACTATTCCTACTTCTAGCACTCCACAAAGCAATGCCTATTTTTTCAGGTCAACCAAAGCAAGACTTCGGCCAGCCTCTGTCAGCTCCCACAAACCTTTGTCAGAAATGCTAATGGTTTTTGAAGCTAATGTTTTTTTGAATTCAGGGCCAGAAGAGAATTCAGTGTGATCCACTGGTCCAATCTGTAGGAAAAAAGCACACAACAAAACAATGGTAATACTTTGAAAATTTCAAAACATCAAACAATTTTATGTAAGTTTTAAACATTTGCACTAATGCAAAAGTGAAAGAAATGGGATTAAATCCAATATAAGCTAAATGGTAGGGATCAATAAAGCAGAGGGAATTTTTACTTAACTGTAGCTTAACTGAGTTATAACCTTTAAGAACCTCGGGAAAAATGAAATAAAATTTCATTTTATAATGATAAATTTTATAATTTTATAATTTTTATAATTTTATAAAATAAAATTTTAGAATGAAGAAGAACCTCTCGCTCTGTCACCCAGGCTGGAATGCTGTGGTGTGATCTTAGCTCACTGCAACCTCCGCCTCCTGGGTTCAAGTGATTCTCCTGCCTCAGCCACCTGAGTAGCTGGGACTACAGGCTCATGCCACCATGCCCAGCTAATTCTTTGTATTTTTAGTAGATACGTGGTTTCACTGTGTTAGCCAGGATGGTCTCCATCTCCTGACCTCGTGATTCGCCTGCCTCGGCCTCCCAAAGTGCTGGGATTACAGGTGTGATGAAGAATCTGAATTACCATCTGGACAAACTCATATTAAAGATGAGAGAACAAAGCCCAGAGAGATTCAATGACTGTTTTAGTGGCATAACATAGTCAAACCAGTTCTTCAAGACTACTTACTACTCAGTGTCTGCCCAGAGTATCCCTGGGCCTCTTCCAGGCCTACAAGCTGCTTTCTTAACTTAGGCAAATGAAGATGTTTGTATTTATGTGTACATTACAATAATGTAAGAGCATTTTTAAAAAATATACCAAACTTGTTGGGCCCAGTGGCTCACACCTGTAATCCTAGCACTTTGGGATGGTGAAGCAGGCAGATCACTTGAGGTCAGTTTGAGACCAGCCTAGCCAACATGGCAAAACCCTGTCTCTATTAAAAATTAAAAAATTAGGCAGGCATGGTGGCAGGTATCTGTAATCCCAGCTACTCGGGAGGCTAAGGCAGAATTACTTCAACCCAGGAGGCAGCGGTTGCAGTGAGTTGAGATCACACCACTGCACTCCAGCCTGGATGAGAGACTGAGATTCCATCTCAAAAATGAAATATATAAATAAATAAGTAAATATACAAACTGTATATATATACACACACACACATACCACGATTAGTGTTATTTCCTTCAAAGTAGTCATTTTAGAAGACTAAATACCCTCTTTTTCCCTGGGGGATATGTTGCAAGACCCCCAGTGAATACCTGATGTGATGGGTAGTACCAAACCTTATATATAGCTGTCCCTCAGTATCCACAGGGGATTGGCTCCAGGACCACCACAGAAACCAAAATCCATAGACACTCAAGTCCCTTATATAAAATGGTGCAGTATTTATATATAACCTATACACATTCTCCCATATACTTCAAATAATCTCTAGATTATAATATCTAATACAACGTAAATGTTAAATATTAATAGTTGTTATGACATATTGTTTAGGAGTTACGACATATTGTTTAGGAGTTATGACATATTGTTTAGGAATAATGACAAGAAAAAAAGATCTGTACATGTTCAGTACAGATACAACCATCCTTTTTTGCTTTCTTAAAATATTTTCAATCCACACTTGGTTGAACTGTCAGATGCAGAACCCATGGATATGGAGGGCTGACTATATATTTTTATGCTATGCATACATACCTATGATAAAGCTTAATTTATCAATAGGCACAATAAGAGATTAACAATAGCTAACAATTTTAACAATATACTGTAATCAAAGTTATGTGAATGTGGTTTCTGTCTCTTAAAATATCTTCTTATATTATACAGAGGGTAACAGAAACCTCAGAAAATAAAACTGCAAATAAGAAGGGACTACTTAGGGACTTCAAGCAAACACTTCTGGAACCCTTCCTTTGAAATTGTCTCCCAACTTTGTACCACAATTATACATAACTGTTCTAGTGGTGAATCTTTAGTATATAAGTGTGATTTTATTACTGCCAGAGTCAAAACAAAGACAGCAAAGACAACCATTAAGCAAATATTTATTAAATGCCTGCCATGTGTAGCAAAAGACATTGTGTAGCAAATGATATGTGTACATGTCATGTGTAGCTACAAAAGACATGTGTAGCAAAAGACATTGTCCCTACCTTCAAATCTTAAAAGGCTTGAGAGAGAAGCCCTATCAGAATTTTTGGGAGCCTTTTAAAAATACCAAGCCACCTCCACCTCCCCAACAGATTCAGCAGCGATAGAATGTATACTTTTAAAAAGCATCTGAGTGATCTTGACATGCAAAAGCAGTCCAAATGCTTAATTGTGGGTAACCCCCGCATCTAGGCACCGAGGAAGGAGAGCTAAGCAGATTCCCAGCACAATTAGTGCCTGAAGAATATTTTAGTTTATAGTGTTACTACTCAGTTATTTCCTTTTACATAATCCTTTACATATAATCATGTATTAGTTTGTAGAATTAGTGCCTGAAGAATATCTTACCACTCAGTTATTTCCCTATATATATCTTAGCTCATAGTTGGAGGAATGCCTAGAGCAGACACGGTACAGAGTATGAATTCAGGAATAAGCAGCTTACAGTCGGAGGAATATCTAGAGCAGAAATGGTGCACAGTATGATTTCAGGGAAAAACAGTTATATCAGGACAAGAATCCATGGCCCAGGTGGCAGTGTTCAGTATCGTAAAGATACCCGCTGTATGGCAGGCTTGGAGCAAGAGCCACTCCTACTGATGAAGGAGTTGTAGTACCTTGCATCCAGTTATTGTGGAAGGCTGCCCTCAGACCGGCAATCCCACAAACGTCCGAGGGCTTAAAACCCCTCCGGTATAATCGCGTCTTGGTGGCTGTGAACCCTGTCAGCTCTGTTGCTGTGTACTGACTTGAAGCATTCTCCTATAGAAATCATTGGAAGCTGCCAGCAGGTGGTGGTAGACCCTGTCAGCTCTGTCACTGCTGTGTGACTCAAAACATCCTCCTACAGATAAT